AAACATTGACCAGCTGCCTCCTACACACCCCCCACTGGGGATATGCCCGCAACCAAGGTACATGCCCTTGACTGGAATCGAACCCGGGACCCCTCAGTCCGCAGACCGACGCTCCACCCCTGAGCCAAACCAGTTTCGGCAGAAGTTGATTATTTTAAAGTAAATCTTAGACACCATGTTATTTTGCTCTTCTATATTTCAGCATCCTATATAATAAAAGGCTAATAAGCAAATCAACTGAAGGAACGACTGGTTGTACTGACCACCAGGGTGTAGATGCTCAATGCAGGAGCTTCCTCTTGGTGGACAGTGTGCCAGAAGCCAGGCTCATGGCTGGCGAGTACAGTGGCAGGGGCGGGAGCCTCTCCTGCCTTCGCAGCAGTGCTAATGTCCAATTGATGGCTCCTGGACTGCAAGAGGGTGCAGTCTGGGCTGAGGCCTCTAGGATATGTATAATGGAGCTGAAAATTTCCCATCAGTTTATTACATTGTAGCCATCAGAAGAGTGTGGTAGGGCAAGATATTGTGTTTGTGGTCATGCTGGTGTAAACAAACCTACACCTACACCTATAATACATCTACTGTTCTATAAAAGTATAGCACACACAATTATGTACAGCACGCAATACCTGGTAATAATCTACTATGTTGCTAATTTATGTACATACTATACTATACTATATCATACTATACTATACTACTTTTTATCATTTTTTTAGACTGTACTCTTTCTACTTCTAAAAAAATAGTTTATTGTGATACAGCACGCTGGGTTAGGCTGGCATTAAGAAGTAAGAAGTAAACACACTTCTCATGTTTACTGTGTCTCTTGATTGTATCATTTTCTCATGTGTTTGATTTAACCTGATGTTGTTTTGTACAGTGACATGCTGTGCAGACTTGTAGTCTAGAGCAATAGGATATATATACCAGATAGCCTAGGTGTGTAGTTTGCTGTACCATCTAAGTTTGTGTAAGTGCACTCTATGATATTCACATTTCTACAAAAACGTTTGGCTTAACAACAAACTTACTAGAATATACCTTATTGGTAAGCTGTACATGAGTGTACATTGCTTATTTTTAAAATGGACATGATGCCATTATCACATCTAAAAAATACCCAAACAGCCGGGACCGGTTTAGCTCAATGGATAGAGCGTCGGCTTGGGGACTGAAGGGACCCGGGTTCGATTCCGGTCAAGGGCATGTACCTTGGTTGCTGGCATATCCCCGGTAGGGGGTGTGCAAGAGGCAACTGATCGATGACTCTCTCTCATCGATGTTTCTAACTCTCTGTCTCTCTCCCTTCCTCTCTGTACAAAAAAAAAAAATCAATAAAATATATTAAAAAAAAAAAAAATACCCAAACAATAATTACTTGGTATTATATATGGTTCGTAAGCAAATTTTTCAACAGTTGGTTCACGAATGTCTTGTTCAGTTGGTTTGTTGAACTGGGTTCCAAACAATGTCCACACCGGGGACTTGGATGTCACGTCACAGAAGTTTGAGCAGCGCTCCTTCCTCACTACCCTCCATGCTATTGATTTATCATAAGAACCAATTCAGGTTCAGAATGTCACATATTCTGTATTGCAAGTTTTCTTCTTTGAGTGTCATTTAACTTGTTCTTTCATTTTCCCTATTTCTCATAGTTAGAAGTTTGTGTTCTATATAGATTTGATTAGATTCAGGGTTTTCTGTTGTTGGTTTGGAAAAAAACACCTCACGGTGCTTTGTGCTTCAACTGCAATATGTTGAAAGGCCTCCAATGACTGTTGTCTCAGTCTTAGTAACCCTAAGATTTATCAATATTTCAGGTACTCACAGTTCTTTCATCTAATGGTTTCATATACTGATGATCATTGCCTAAGCCAATTATTCCATTTGGGATTATAAGATGGTTAATTTCTAATTCTATCATTCATGAAGAGCCACAGATCTCCTCCTTTATGTAAATGGGCAAATGTCCCTCCCTGACGGTGCCAGAAAACTGGAGGTGTGTTCTCTGGAGAGTAAAATAGTGGCCTGGAGGACACCAGTTAAAATGGAGGGCACGCATGGGTTATGCAGTGAAAATGACGTTCGATGGAGTGTATATAGAATGCCGAGACTCTCCACACTTTCCCAACCACATGACTCAAGGAGACTGGAAGAGTAAATGATAGAAATAACTTAATATTTAAGTACCTGTTAGTACGATTACCTATAATAAGGTAAATAATTCAATAGATTTTTATAATTTAAATTTTGGGTCTTAATTGAAGCATATTATAGAAAGTGTAAACTGTACGAGTATATAGTGAAAAATTGGTTCCCTCTTATCCCTGTGCCCTGGCCTTTGTGCACCTTCTCTTTTTAGACACAGCCACTCTTCCCAGTTTATTTATTTTTTAAATATATTTTATTGATTTTTTACGGAGAAGAAGAGAGGATAGTTAGAAACATCGATGAGAGAAACATCAATCAGCTGCCTCCTGGACACCCCTTACTGGGGATGAGCCCACAATCAAGGTACATGCCCTTCATAGGAATCGAACCTGGGACCTTTTTTTTTTAAACATATTTTTTATTGATTTTATACAGAGAGGAAGGGAAAGAGATAGAAACATTGATGAGAGAGAGTCATCGATCAGCTGCCACTTGCACACCCCCTACTGGGGATATGCCCGCAACCAAGGTACATGCCCTTGGCCGGAATCAAACCCGGGACCCTTCAGTCCCCAAGCCGAGGCTCTATCCATTGAGCCAAACCGGTCCCGGCATTTTTTTCTTTTAAATCAATCTTTATTGTTCATATTATTACAAAGGTTCCTCATTTCTTCCCCCCTCCACCAGGTTCCCACCCCACCCTCCGCCCCTTCCCCATCCCCCATTGTCCTCATCCATAGGTGCACAGTTTTTGTTCAGTCTCTTCCTCCCTCCCTTTCCCCGATAGTAAATCCCTTTTCAGATAGTAAATCAGTTACTTAGCATTTTCTCATATCAATAATACCTCCACATGCCCAAAGATACACTTCACACAAAAGACATTTCCAAATAGGTCAACCAGCCTCATCCAGGCCCCACCCAAGGCACTCACAGATCAACACCCCAGCGCTATACTAACTCAACACATCCAGATCTAAGCCTTCATCACTTGATTCAGCAGACCCTCAAGTTCCCGCAAAAGTTTCCAGCCATGTCTGAGAGGCAGCCGTGGGGCAGGGGCAGGCAAGGAGTGAGCTGTTCCGGGCTTGGCTGCTCTGGGTTTGGCTGGCCTCTGTTGCTCTGGTTCGTTCCACAACCAGATGCTCCAGGTCTGGTCACTGCAGCTCCCGACCTAGTTGGTCTGGACTTGGCTGCTGCTGCTCCGGGCCTAGCCGCACCCGACCCGGCTGCTCCGGGCCTGGCCGCTCCCAGCCTGGCAGCTGCTGCTCCGGGCCTGGCCGTACCAGACCCAGCTGCTCCGGGCCTGGCCGCTCCCAGCCTGGCAACCGCTGCTCTGGGCCTGGCCGCACCAGACCCGGCTGCTCCGGGCCTGGCCACTCGAACCTGGGACCTTTTAGTCTGCAAGTCGACACTCTATCCACTGAGCCAAACCAGTTTCAGCTCTTCCCAGTTTTGTATGCATCTTTCCAGATATGTGGAGCTGTGGGGTGAAACAAGGTTTCTCTGAAGCAGGGCTTCCACAATATGTGATCAAGCCAAACTTTACAGAAACTTATCTGGGCTAATCACATCTGAGTCAAAATATTAGGATGGCAGTAGGATCTTAGTAATTTGTGGGAACAATTTTAGCAAAGCTAAAAATGTCATGAATATTTATCACAAGTACGATCATTCCTCAGTTAAAAAAAGTCTATAATGAATTCAGTAAATATTTATTAATGGCTATTATGTATCAAAATAAATTTCCAGTATGACACTTATGAAATCAAGGTTTTATGGATAATTTGTCAGACTTAAATAACCACACAATTTTATATGTGATTATTACCATTTGTATATTATGTGAACGTGATCTAGTTCATTTTTCAATTATTTTTCACCATTCAAAATAAACAAATTCAAATTTTATTTTAAAATAGAATTTATTGTATGGCATAGTGAATTCAATACAATAAAAAAAGTTTCCTTGTCAGTATTGGCACATAATGAAGAATTTTAAAACATTGCTAAATTAACACTTCAAAAATTTTAAATCATGTTCCATAAAAAAATAAAGCCTAATAGTGTTATAAAGTATTAATTTACACTAACCTCCATATCAAAGTGTTTAAAAAAAAGGATTCCACACTAAAACCAATAATCTAAGAAGTAAAACTTCAATCATGTATTTTTAAAAAGGTTCTCATTTAAACAAAATACAACAGAAGGTATAAAATAGGCAACAACTACAAAATTTACATTGAGTTGTTCTACTGGAAAGTTCTGCAAACTTACCAGATAAACTTTGGATATTTTTAAAAAATCCATATTCCAAAAAACGTTTACAATACTTTACGCCCAATTAAAGAAACACATAACATTAAGCATTCTACATTTTTTTCTTTCAGTTGCTACTTATTTGCCATTATTACAGGACTATTCTAAAATTTTAGTTTTAAGAAATCATTTTCCCCCATGATCATTTTCATAGATACAAAGGCTGTTCCTAAGTATAGAAACATTAAACAAGTTCACATATGTGGCCTTCACTATAATATGGCCTGAATATTATTCTATCAATCTCATTTTGTTTACTCTGAAAATTCAGTAATCCAAATCATGAGTATTACACAATTTCTTTCAAATTCCAAAAAGCTGAGTAATTTGATTCAGATCTTTTGAATTTACAGAGTATCTTTCTTCCAGAAAGCATAAAGTCATTTATATTCAGTATTTTGACTTTATTTACACTTCTTGCCCCAATCTGTTTAGAATTAGCCTCTGAGGTAAAACGATCACTGAAATTAAAAATTTTAAACTGCAGAATTTATTATTTGACATCTTCTTGAGTAAATTCAACTCTTTTCCTTGTTAATAGAAAAATATAAAGCCTTTCAAACTAGTACATTGCACCAGTTTGAAATGCAATTCCTATATTTTTGAAATCTCATTGGTTGAGATCAGGCTAAAATTTTAGAGATCAAGCTTAAATAAATTAAATACTTTTTTAGTCAAATGGAAAAATGTCTGCTTATATCTAAGGAAAAAAATTGAAAGAGCAAAAGAAAACTAGAAAGCTCATTTGTATTGAACATAAATGTATCATTTTGACAAAATCTCTATGGACATTTAACTAAAATCTATGAATGCCAACTTCAGATGGGTTAATATTTTCTTCTTTCTAAAAAAGAAATTGTGGATTTTACTAATAAAGTATTGCTCATCTAAAAAGAAAATACAAGATGAAATATAATGTATTAGAATAGCAAGGTTTTCCTCACAAACCGAATTATCTTTGCTGAAGTAAACTGAAGTGAAAACTCTACAATTTGAGATATTTAGTGATTTATGTTTGATAAGTTGCAAAAATGTTCATAGAAAATATCTAAGAAGTAACAATTTTTTCAGTAATAATATAGGATATAGTACTGTTTTTTAAGACATATTTAGTTAAAAAACCAATTTATCTTCTCCTTAAAGTTACTGGTGATGGGAAGGCAAGAGAGGAAGAAGTAATAGAGCCTTTAAAGACAAATTGTCATCTCCCCTACTCTTTGTTTACTTTGACTCATAAAATATTTTTGTACTTGGTTGCAATTTCTCTAAATATATTCAGTGGGGTTGTTAGAAGAATTATTTAAATATAATGTAAAGATGACACTGAAGATGGAGAAACTTAAGGAATTTCTCTATTTCTTTTTTAATAGCAAACTAGAAAGGAAATTTTACCTCCTTGGTAGTTAATGGTTGGATACAATAGAATGTGTATCAAAGAACTAAAATTTCATATTTACAGATTTAAATTTTCCTTAACATTCTTCATAAAATGTGGCTGAGGTTGAGGCTTTTGAATATCAAAAAGCTGGGATGAGAATGCAGATAATTTTACTAAAAAAGATGTATTTCGGCAAACATTTTATTGATATTAAAAATGAAAATATAGTTGGATCTTATGACATTTCATGTGTTCTATCAGTATTTGCCAAATAAATTAGATTCTTTGGAAAAAATTCAAACTTGATATTATGGAGACAGAATGAAGAATAACCCTTACTGGTCAGATACTTGTCATTTACCGAAGAATCTGTAATTGTATTAGGTGGACAGAGGGCTGTCAAGGGAGCTTCTCTATCTGCTACTTACTAAGCAAAAGGAACAAACAAAAGCATCTAATTCCCTCAAATGCTAAATTTAGGTCTAATACCAAAGCTCTCATTCATTTAAAAAGGCATTAGATTTAAATTTTAACCAGCTGAACTGGCTTTAGAATGAAAGAGCATAGAGTGGCTAACATATCTTGTATATTATTTCTAGAGAATGTAAAATTCCACTGCCTTTGGAATTACTTATTTGGAAATTTCTTAGGAAAAAGAAAAAAAAGGAAAGACAATTTGACCTCTGACTTCCAGGAGAATGTTCAAGGTCACAAGCAAAGAATGAGAGGTTTTTTGCATTACCCGCACCCCCCCCCCCACCCCAAAGTTATAAGGTTCTGGAGTGGTTCATTGGTCTAACCCAGCAATTTTCAACCAGTGTGCTGCACCCGGTGTGCTGCAAGAATCGTCACAACAGATATTGACTATTTAGTCAGGGGCACAGACCTCTCTCCCCTTAGATTGTCAAATAGATAAGTGAAAACAGCCGACACAACAGCTGTCCGGCGTGGATGAATCAAAATTATACCTATTTTTTTTTTGTCAGAATGGCAAATTATATTTTTGGTGTGCTGCAGAATTTTAGTTATTAGTTTATGTTTGCCATGAGATGAAAAAGTTGAAAATCGCTAGTTTAACCTACTCATTTTGCAGATGAGAAAACTGAGACATCAATGTCTGGCACCAAGACAATTTACTCACACTTCTGTCATGTAAAATTAAAATGACCCTGACACCCAGTCTCCTCTCTTTTGTCTCTCTTTCTTCGGAAGCACACCTGGTAAATTAGTATACCATCCTCCACCAAAATATAAAAGGTTAGCGGTGGTTTCCTTTGGAGAAAGGAGAAGGAATTAAGATAGTGGGGGGTGGGAGCAGGGGTGGGAGAGGGGATTGTTAGGGATTTTACACTAAGCCTGAACATCAACAGGCCCAAACTTCAGAGATCAGAAATACCACAGTGAAACTGAATTACTATAGAAATTTAAGCTTTACCTTCAAGGAAATAGCAAACCACTGAAAACTGTGGATGCCATTTTTGTATCATTTTAATGTCTAGTTCTATATATTAGGTTTCCCTATAGTGAGAAAAATATTCTAACATAAAACAGCAATTTGAAGCAATTCAGGTTCTCAAGATTAAAAAAGGAATGAATTTAAATAAAACAAAAATGTATGCTATAAACATACTCCAAGATTATATTTTTTTTAACTTCTGCAGTTTCTGGAATTTCATTATGGAACTTCCTTCTTGCATGATCTTAATCAAATTTCTACAGAGCACAAATTTTTCATAATTTTTTTCTGTAAAATCTGTTCAGAAATTCACTTGGGCAGAAATACTTTTAACTAGAGTTGAAAAGAAATAGGTTTCAGTAAGGAAAATACAGGGATGGATAAAGACCTTTTTTTTTTTTTTTTTTTAGAAAAATATACTGTATATATTACATTTTGAAAGTTATACAGACCATATCCTTATATTTAATGTGAAGGCACAACTTTAATATAGTTAAAAGCAAATGTATTTTAATCACGTATGACATAGTTGACAGTACTAGCTCTTAAAAATGTATATTTGCGAGCATGTCATTGAAGATTCTTTTAGATTGTCAATTCTAAAAGCAAAACTCTTTTTGCAGAAAATCAGTTGAAACATTACAGCAGGTCCACAGGATATTACTGTTGGATAATCTGTTCACCAGCAGCCACAGGGGTTTCTTCACTTGTTGCATAGTCCGGCTGGTCCATCATCTAGGCATAAAGATGTGAGAAAATACAAATTTTCAACTTGTACTCAATATTGACCAATTTGGCAAAAGGATTCTCAATTTTTTTTTTTAAAGAAAGATTTTCCTCTTTATTTTTAATTGATTTCTTTTAGAAGAAGGAGAGCTACAGATAGTGCTAGAGAGAGAAATATCGTGCGATTGCCACCGAACCCAAAACCTGGGTGTGTGTCCTGACTGAGTATGGAAACTGACACCTTCTGGTGTACAGGATGACACTCTAGCCAACTGAGCCACGCCGGCAGGGTGGATTCCCAATTTTTAAAAATGACTCAGAATGCTCTATGGAACTGAGTACTCCTCTTGGAGCAATGTACTGGTTCAACATCCAGGCTCCTAAGATATGATCAAAGTGACAATGAACCCTCCTTCCAAAAGCCTAACCATTGGACTCAGGGCCAATGTGATAAATGCTTTTGCGGGATCTTCCACTATTTCCATTTCCTTATGTGGATAATGCTCTACATGGCAGTAGGAGCTCCACTACAAAAGGAAGATATTCCTGATGCTGTTCCAGGACACTAGTGCAGGCGGTGCCCACTCCTAGAACTGGCAAAACTACAAGTGGCCGCCGAAACCGGTTTGGCTCAGTGGATAAAGTGTCAGCCTGTGGACTGAAAGGTCTCAGGTTCAATTCCAGTCAAAGGCATGTACCTTGGTTGCGGGCATATCCCCAGTGGGAGGTGTTCAAGAGGCAGCTGGTTGATGGTTCTCTCTCATCGATGTTTCTAACTCTCTGTCCCTCTCTCTTTCTCTCTGTAAAAAATCAATTAATTATATTAAAAACAAACAAACAAACAAACAAACAAACAAAAACTACAAGTGACCCCACAACTCACTGTGAGACTACCTGCTGGTTTGGGACAATGTAACCTGGATGACACCTTGAATTGACCTTAAGATAATTTAAAAATGATATGTGAGCCCTGGCCAATGTGGCTCAGTTGGTTGGACCCATGCACCAAAAGGGTGCCAGTAGGATAGGTCTGGGCACATGCCCAGGTTGTGGACTTGATCCCCAGAGGGGCTGAGCAGGAGGTAATCGGTCAATGATCAAAGTTCCACTCTCACAACAATGTTTATCTCTCTTTCTCTCTAAAAACAAATATATTTATAGTATTCTTAAAAATGATATGTGAAATTTTGTATGACAAAAGTTTCTACTAATAAATAACTTGAAGGTACTAAAAGGCCAAATGATACTAGAAAACAAAATCAAGAATACATTTGCTATAGACTGATTTTAGAGGAATTATCAGTTAAACTTTCTCAAATGATCACTTCAGCTCTGCCTATATTCCCATGGAAATCTTTCTATATTTGGGAATGAAGAAACAAAGTGTTGGCTGAGACTGGTCTGGCTCAGTGGATAGTGTCAGCCTGTGGACTGAAGGGTCCCAGGTTTGATTACGGTCAAGGGCACATACCTTGGTTGTGGGCATATCCTCAGTAGGGGGAGTGCAGGAGGCAGCTGGTCGATGGTTCTCTCTCACCAATGTCTCCAACTCTCTATCCCTCTCTCTTCCTCTCTGTAAAAAAATCAATAAAATATATATTTAAAAAAGGAACAAAGTGTTTAAATTGTTTAAATTTTTGTGTGTGTGTTTTTACTCTGCTCTTCAGATAAAATTACTTTAATATGGAAAATTGTCTTTGTAAATATTGTCAAAGATTTTTAGGTAAATGATTACATTTCAGTATTGGGATATACTTTTTTGCTTTCTCTTTTATCAAGAAATAGAAGAAAATACCAGCAAGATAGTGTTCCTGTTTTTGTAAACTGATCCCAAAAGTTTTAGTGTTTTTTGCAAGAGGAGGTAGAGAGAGGAATCATTCCCAAATGGGGTCTCAGGACTTGCCAGGCAAGAATAAGCCGGACCTAAGGCATTTAACTGACAACTATCTCAAGTAAAGGAGATAGCTTATACAGCCCACACCTGCTGATACTCTCGGAGCCTTCTCAAGTCCTCAAACTATCAGTTTTGAGGTCCCCTATTTGCCAAACATAACGCCCAGATGAAAGTGGTTACATGTTTGCAGCTCTTCGAGGGGGGGGGGGGGAAAGCCAAATCAAAACAGGTAGCATATTTATTAAAAGCATTTCACTACATGAAACATAAGATGAAGTTGTAGAAAAGTTGATTTTAGTAATAATTTAAATGAAGGAGAGGAAGGAGAGGCATGAAAGATATATTTAGCCCCTCTTCTTTCTAAAAATGTGGAAGCTCTGGGTGGAAGACACTGGGGCTGTGGTGGGGAAAGAGAAAGGAAGCGGCCTCAGTAGGATGGGCTGAAACCCCAAGACCTATTTACTCTGGCAAATGTAACCTAATGAAATAATAGCCTACATACCTAAGTTATAACATGCTTCTTTTTTCCTAATTGGCACTTTAATCTCTAAGTATAGAAATACATTACTTTTTAAAAAACACTTTCAAAAATCAATTTATTCGGAAATAAATATCTCTATTCTGTATTTACTTTTCTTTAATGACTTATCAATAAGAAAAATATTATGCTAAGCTAAATACACCAACCAGAGTCATATAAATATCACATGATCTCACTTATATGTAGAATCTAATGAAAAAATTAAACCGTCCGACAAAACAGATCCAGAGACAGAAGCATGGAACAGACTGATGAATCTGAGGGAAGGCAGAGGGTGGGGATAGGAGAGTGGGGAGAGATTAACGGGGAAATTTAAATGCATGGACACAGACAATGGTGTAATGAACACTTGGGAGGGGTGGGTGCCAGGTGGAGGGGGTCACTGGGGGAAAAAGGGAGACACCTGTAATACGTTCAACAATAAAGATAAATTTTTTTAAAACTCTCTATATACATATATAAAACAAATAATATAGAAACATCATTTACTAATAGCCCTGCTTATTAATTAAAAAATGCATTTTTATTGATTTCAGAGAGGAGGGAGAGACAGAAACATCAGTGATGAGAGAATCATCGATCAGCTGCCTCCTGCACGCCCACCTCTACTGGGGATACAGCCAGCAGCTCGGGCACAAGCCGACTGGGAATTGAACCAATTGAACCGTCACCTCCTGATTTGTAAGCCAATGCTCAACCACTGAGCCACGCTGGCCGGGCTAGCTCAGCTTATTTATAGTTGATCCAGGCTCCAGAAACAGTCTAATAAAACACTCATTAAAGCGGGGTAACCGGAGAGTTGTTGACACTAAAGCGAAGTTGTTCTACTATCTCTACTCTCACTTGTCAGTCACAGCTTGTTGCTTCTAAAAAGAATTAGAAGCACTAGTAATATTTAACAGAGACAATCCCACTGTTTACTGATTATCAGCATACAGAAAACTTACTTCCCACCCAGAGTAAAATTGCCCAGTGGAGGTGGCTGCAGAATTCTAAACTCCAGCCCTGCCCCGTGTGGTCAGCAGTTAAGAGTGTTGGCCCATACACCGAAGGGTCTCAGGGTGGGATTTCCAGTCAGCTGGGTTACAGTTTCCATCCCTGGCAGTCATGGCTCATGTGGGAGGCAACCAATCGAAGTGTCTCTTTCATATTGATGTTTCTTTCCCCCTCCATCCCTCCTTCCCACTCTCTCTAAAGATCAACAGAAAACATATCCTCAGGTGAGGATTAACACAAAAAGAAAAATATCTAACTGCAATGATCTAAGAATAGAAATAAACAAAAATCCCCTAAAATGATTTCTCTTAATTGTTTTATGTGCCAAAGAATGCCACTCAAGAGAAAGGAACCTTTATTTACACTAGTTAGATCTTGGACTTTGAGTAAAACTAAATATATGAAACCAAATACTGTACTCTTGATGTATTCTAGAAAAAAAGTTGATAGAAAATAGTGATAAATATTTTTGAGCTACAGAGAATACAATTACGATTTCCAAATTAGTATTATTTTAGTGATATCCTATAGAAATGTTACTTTTTAAATTGATCTTAGAGAGCAAGGAAGGGACAAGGAGGGAGGGAGGAAGAGAGGGGGAGAGGAGGAGAGGAAGAGAGAGGGGGAGAGAGAGAGAGAGAGAGAGAGAGAGAGAGAGAGAGAGAGAGAGAGAAGCATTGATGTGAGAAACATCTCAAGAATTGGCTGACTCCTGCATAAACCCCTACCCAGCATCAAGTCTACAACCTGGACATGTGCCCTGATGGGGAACTGAACTGGTGACCCTTTGGTGTACAGAATGACACACCAAATCAACTGAGCCACACTGTCCAGGGCAGAAGTATTACTTCTTTTGATCAGAAAAACTCATGGAAAGGGCTGAGAGACTCCAAAATAAATACTAAATTATTTCAATGAAATCTCTTAAGTTTCAGCAACAATGAGGCATGCTTTGCCCTTTGAAAACAACATAAAAGGCTACCAGGATACCCATGACATTGGAAGTCTCCAGTGGAAAGTCCTGCTTTCCCCACTTGTACTACACTCTAACATCAGGCATTAGAATGAACCAAATGATTAACAGCATAAACTAACATGCCATCACTTTTGAATCCGACTTTATTTTATATTACATGTTTTATATTTGATTATTTCAAAACAGTAGCAAAAACTTTTGGCATTTGCGGAGGGTGCTGGAAGAGTTGATAGAGGACATAAAAATGGTGGATGAGACTTAACTTAGGCTGGTGAACACACAATACAGTGTACAGATGATGTGTTATAGAATTGTGAACCTGAAACCTGTATAATTTTGTTAACCAGTGTCACCCCAATAAATTCAATAAAAGTAAACTTCACTTGCAAAAAAATGATTATATATAAAGATTGTAGGCATTTAAGTCTAGTTTAATGTTTTTAAAAGTGATTCACTATTATAATACCTTATAACAATTTTGGTAATTTTATGAGGTCTGCTAACATACAATCAGGAAGCTTGTACACACACACACACACACACAGAAATGAGTAAAGGTCATTGAATTAAAGACTGATCATTACAGCTGTTTGCATGAAGAC